TAAATGCGCATATAAAACATGTTACATTAAAAATAGTAATTTAAAAAATTAATTTATTCATTTATGGTATTCAGTATGCGATAATACTTTTTGTAAAGAAAAAATTTGCTAATTTCTAATTAAAAAAATACAACCAAACCAGAGAAAAAACTACCAAACAAGCAAGTTAGAAAAATTAAAGAAAAACAACCAAGTTTGTTTGGAAACAACCAACATTGGCAACCGTGTTTGCCACTTTAAACATACATCTACCAACACGCTCACCAAACACTACTGACTTACTCTTGTAAGCTATTAAGCTACATAGATGCTTTGGCGGTAAGGTATTGGCTTTCAAATGCATAGGTGCATATCTATGTACTTACATATGTATATACATAAAAACATATGTATATGAATATGCATCACACCATGCTTTCCACGCTACAAATCAAATACACTACATTTTTTCAATGCCGGCCGGTATATTCGATAATTATACACGTCAGCGGCGAAAAAAAGTTACAAAAAAATAAAACAAAAGAGAGTTAAAAAAAGAAACGCTACAAAAAGTGCATAACTCCAAGTAAAATAAGCAAGCGAAACAAAATGAACTCGGCTGCCCAGTCAAGTCAGTCCAGCCAGCCAGCAGACAGTCAGCCAGCACAAACAAAGCTCATTTTTGGGGGCAAAACCGGCGGCATGGCGGTAGCGACGTGGAAGTATTTGTGAGCAAACCAACGAACCAGATAGTAGCAAAAAAATTGCAGCAAAATGCAACAAAAAAAAAGCGCCGCAGACATGCAAGTAGACGGGCGAGTTGACTTTGAAGAATGCAGACGGTGGGGCAATTACTGAGCGCCAACGGTGCAGCACGCTTGGCAAATGTGTATTTTTGTATATATTTTTATAGAAAGAAGAAATAAGTAGAAAAACTGTGGAGACAGCTCATAAGGAACCGTAAAGATATGAAGAATGGCAGTAGGCGAAACGTCTGCGTCTTTGCCAAATGCAGCCGGTGGTCGAGGCTGTGTTGCCAGCCGGCAAATGGCAAACCATTTCGTTTGGCCGCCACCACGCCGGGTGCAAGTGTGTGTTTGTTGGAGTGACATGGCAGTGTGATGGCTAATTTTATGCACATCCAATACAGAAATAGATTTTCTATTATATTTTATAAGATTTTAAACAAATGGCAGCAAAGGCAAGAGAAGGCGAACTGGGCGGCGTGACGTTCCACAGATTTCCGATTTGCTGGTGAGTAGTGCTGTGCCCCAGAAATTCCTCATAAAACTTCTACGGCTAAAAATTAATAAACTAAAAAGACTTAACGCCACGATTAAATTAAGCTCGCAAATGTTTCCTGCTGGGTACGTTCAAGTTCAGTTACAAAAATAGTTCTAAACCAAACATTTCCCTGTTAAAAATACTTCCAACAATTTCAAGCTGACCAATAGCCTGGTTTTGGGCTAAACTATTTTAGAAAAGGGCAAAATTCTTGACAGAGTCCTTGCAAAAACTCAGACTAAAGAACTAACGCCCCTGAGGAGATCTAATGGATCCCCCACGAGTAGCTCCGAGAAATGTCTTAAATTGCTAGCCATGGTGCATTTTCCTGGTTTATTGCCTTCCTGACTACAACCCAAACCACAAGCAGACCGATATAGAACGAACCTGCGCAAAGGATTGAGGAATAGCCAGAAGCCTGTTCGAGGAGGCGTATACGGTGAACAATCTTCGCCTTCGCTCCTTTCAAAGCACACCTGAAGCAGATGAGATCTTCCCAGCTCATCCTCAAAAGGGGATAACCAATATCCTGCCCTTTTTAATTGTGCTATCCCCAGGGCCTTGGAATTCGTACCACTCAGTGGCAGGAAGTAACGGTCCGATATAAACATAAGAAGAGGTGGAAATCAGCAGGCCAACACAACTTATACCGATCCATCAGTCTTAAGAGCTTTTTATAAAAAAAAGAGTGTCTAACATAGTCTTCTTATAGAAAACCTTTTTCCTTCACGCTCTTCGGAGTCTCACAAGGAAAAGAGTTCATAAAGTATTAAGAGGTGACCGTGAGCTCCTTTCTGGACATAGAGACTGCTTTTGCTAACACGGAACACTCTCAAATAGACTATTGCGCTCGGCTCAAAGGGGATGACGTTACCACATGCCGCTGAATAGGAATCGCCCTTGAAACCAAAACTATTACATCCGCTTCAGGATGGCGAATAATCATATTCTCACCGACCAAAGATTATGCTCCATCGTTTCGATGGACAGGGTTACCCGGATGTCATTTCCACTTTAGGTTTGAACGGACTAGCTCAAACCTCCTACAGAATGCGCTGACCATAAGAATATTGATAAATATATATAGCATAACTTTCTTGAAAAGGTTAAAGGTTAAATAGCCGAAATCATTGCTTTGAGGAGAATGCATACACTTCTCTAACTAAGTCAAATAGCTGGGAATTGTTCTTTAAGGATTTCTTGCCTAGATAATACTATTCAAAAGTCCAAGGACTCTATTTGAACCCAACGGGAGCTAATTGTGCAGAACTTACGCGTCAGACCCAAACTGGTAAACTGGCTACAAGAAACCATTTCAACGCCCTTTCTAACACCGCGCCCGTCAGTTAGAAGAAGGCTGAAGTGAAGTCTATGCAGTCCAAGCTCAACAAACCCTGATGACTCGGCTGCGTAGACATGATTCTAAGCCTGCCTACTCGGTGCATGTTTTAATCAAGAAAGAAACTTGTACCTATATGCGATAGGTTAAACTGGTATAGCCTTGGCCAAACTATTTGGCGTAAGCCGGTAAGAGAATACAGTTAAGTCTAGGAAATAAGTTAAATACAACAACATTGCGGACTGCGTAGCCGGAGTTGTACTTATGAGGGTAATTTTTTTTCAAGCGGCCTCTAGTGTAAATATTTATACAGGATCTGGTAGTTTAGCTTAGGCTTAACTGGTTTCTCCTATCGGTCTTAGCTCACACCAGTTTGTCCCAAGCTATACCGGCTTAGGACAAAGAATTACCTTTGTGAGTATAGCTTAACTTCACAAGTTACTTCAATGTATTTTTCCCAATAGAACCAACTGGAACAGTGAAGGAGGTAAGGCATGCTGAGATACATAGCATAATGATAGATGCAAGACTGACCAAATCCTCGGTGTAGGGGTCTTTGGTATACAACCCACAGAGCTTATTTTCACTAGCATGAGGCAAGTTAACTCAGGCTGAGGTGCTTATGAAGGCTTATGAAAGCTCATGTACGACTGCCTAAGGATTTTAATACGTACTCATTTCCCACGGGAATTGGCTTTACCCCGTTGGGGTACCACGACACAGTGGAAAGTGTCTGCACAGGACTTCATGGACCCAGAACCTCTCATCGGTTGGCCATGGATCGCCGATTGGTGAAAATATTTATGTATCAGTACAAAGAAGAAAGCGCTTCTTAGGACCTGATATAATAGATCCTTTGGTTGCGGTAACCAGGTGACCTGCTGCCTCTCAATAGTAATCTATGCGGTTAGGATATGGCTGAGTACTTGAAGCGTGCATTAAATTTAGGTTAGGTTTAGGAGATTGTCCTTTGTGATTGCACGTAAATTTTGAACGGCGACGAAAACTTGATCGACAAATCAGTGCGAGACGATCACGAAATTACGAATGCGGCTAATTTCAATACCCGAGATCTTCTCAGGGTTAGTTAGGAAATGCAAGCCAAAATATTTCGGGGCGAAGGCTGGGAAACAGAAAGTTCTGCAGAGATTCTACATCATCATGTCCCACTTAAATGTAACGGGATTGAATAGGTGTGACTTCTAGCCTTACTGCGTGAGTTTAGTTGGACCATTACTTATCAGAACCCCACCAGCATCATGGGCTGTGCCTTTTCAAGTGCAGACCAGAAGGATCTTTGGATTGTGCATATCCTGTTATTCCCTCAGCACTCGCTGAGCCGACATGACGCCTATCTGTTTAAGAATGAACCACAGGAGGCCACCAACCGCTACTTTTGACTGAAAAATCATGCTGAAATCCGGAAGCCTGAATTTAGTGTGGATGGAGAGCTACTGGCAGAACACGCCGCCCCAAGATTACCTTCAAGTTTCGATACATCCATGAAAATGTGCACTGCTCACCCACCCCACCCAATCATCCCTTGCGGGAATGTAGAAAGATATGAGGCTACTGAGAGCCATATGGGCGAGGCAGTAATCTGTGTAATCAGGAATGAAATCGAAACCCTTCAGAACTACGAAAGGCCAAATAAAACTGAATTGTATTATTTTTTAACATATTGAGAGGTTTTTAAAATTATTAATGCAATGATCAAAAAAAATTAAGCACGGAGGTTGACCTAAAATTTTTACATGTATTTTGAACGCAGTCCATCTCACAAACGAGTCGGAATTTAGGCAGTGATCAAATTTAAAGATTCGCTTGGGGAAGCAGAAATTTCTTGCACTGAAACATCCTACAATACATTGATATACCTTCTTACAAACTATATACTGGCATTTGTTCATACTTACAGTTGTGGCCGCATAATTAGGGACACAATTCTTTTACAAATTTCGACCATTCTCAAAATCAATCCTTCCTACTGAATTAAATACAAAAGCCACCATCAAAAAAAAAAAAATAATATTAAAAATCAGCGCGATTTTCGACCCGCTTGAAACTTGCGCTTCATTAGACTAAAATTGTATGGACATAAAATTTCATATCCAAAAATGTGCTAAAGATTCAGAGTTGATTCGGAAGTATTGCATTTTTTCTAGAAATTCTGATTACAAAGTTTTAAATTTAAATGATAAAATTTTGATATTTGGCGAATTTTTATAACTTTTCTACAATGTTTGAAACTATGAGTTGCATGGTTTTCGTTGTAGTATAAACAATACTACATACAATACAAAAGAAAGAACAAATGATCAAAACTTGTAAAGAAATAGTATCCCTAATTATGTGGCCACTACTGTATATACTTATTTAGTTAGTTTATTCTACTCACCAATGCTGAGCGGTGTACCAATCTTGCCGGAGACATTTAGAAATTTAAAATCGAAATTTATCAAATTTTTACGACCAAAAAACGACATTGAACCACTGCCGTCACTGACACTATTCGCAGCAGCGGCACTATTTTTCGCTGATTTCTCTGTCGATGTCACAGGTGGACCCAAAGTTGTGGCGAATGAATGCAATTTTTCCATTAACGTTGTTGTAGCATTGAGTGCACTGTAGGGTGGGCCGGCTGTGGTGGGACCAGGTGTACCAGCAGCGGCGGTTGTTTGTACCGGACCAGCGGTAACAGTGCACAACTTACTAATACTCAGTATGCATGTGATGAAAATGAAATTCGACGAGGTGAAACTGAAGCTGATCAGTTGTTGTACTTTACTTTGGTAATTGCAGCTGCTGCTAAAGAATTTGCTGATTTTCGGCGGTTCGCTAGCGTTAGAGGCTGCGCTGGAAGAGATTGTTGCCATTTTATGTGTACGATGCAATTATAAAGTAAGTATTAGCTTATGTACTTAAAAATTTCAACTTTTTTATATATAGAACTTTTTTAAATTTTTTTTATTTCCTTTGTTATGCTTAATACCGATTTAACTTTTCTTTTTATCTTGAGGTGACACTAGTTGGCTAAGGAGGGGAAAACGCAATTAATTATTTTTTTTTGATTTTGTATTAATTTTTATATTTTTTATACATTTTTTTCAACACTGCACATTTTCTTGCTGCAAAAACACTTTGCAACGCAAGCACTACACTTTTCGCATTTTTTGATGATTTTTAAATACTCGTACACTACTACTTTGAGTTTCACGTGCTAGTTAACAGCAAGATTTAAATTTCGTTTTTTATTTTTTTTTTGTTTCTGTTAGTTATTTCAATTTATTTGTTATAATTTTTACTTTTGTAATTAGTTGATAGCTTTTATATAATTCTACATATATAGTAGATTCTAACCTAAAACCTATTTTTTTTTGTAGTAGACTATTTGAAGCCATGGAGAAAAACCCAGGAGAATTCTAACTTCACATTCGGACTAAGTGAACCACATTTGAAATTGAATAAGTTTGGGCACATTCTTTCTGAACGTTGCCTCCGCCTCCCCATATATATTTTATCTTAATTTTTTTTGAATATGTAAAGTTTATAGAAAAAATTAAGCTCTCCAACGCTGTGTGACACTTCATGTATGGCCTTTGGGTCAAATGGATCCCACATATAAAAAGGTATCTGAACGCAGAACTTTTATTCTTTTGAAATTCGAGATACAAAAATGGGAGTCAGAAAATCAAGTTCACCTTAACATGACCTTCACAGCTCTATTCTCTATCAGTGACGAATTCTTTTCACACTTCAAAAAAAAATTTGTCACCGATACAGAATTGGGCTAATAATTTCAAATTAAAACCACTAAAAAAAGTAAAGAAGTATGTATAAGCTCGGGCGAAACCGAATTTTATATACCCGGCGCAGGTACCAAATATCGTCGTTCCAACTCTCTCTCCAAAATTCCTAAAAGTCTTTAACAGTCGTATCGTGATCGTCCTCAGTTATTGAAATATCGGAGTTTTCGTATATCTGAAAATTTACCGTTATACGGGAAACCGGTATAGTTTTAGTCCGGTTTGAATAATTTTTAACGAATTTCTTTTCCGTACCAAGGTTATTAAATGCACCGAGTTTGGTAGAAATTGATAAATCGGTTACCGAGTTACACACTTGTGGTCATAAGTAGGCGTAACCACGCCCAAAATCAAAAAAAAAATAAAATAATAATCTAATTTTCTGGAAAGTGGTTATTTGAGTCAATTAGCTTCAGTAGTTGCTGATTTATCGCAGTTTTCGGTTTTTTGTAAATTACCATTAAATCGGAGGTGGGCGTGGCCCGATTTCAAAGATTTTCAGCAAATTTCTAAGCAAGGCTCGTACCGGGTTTAGTAAGGATTGGTGAAGCGACTGCTAAGATACAGCATTTCATCATAAGTGGGCGGGGTCACTTTTCCAAAAGCTTCATAACAATATTATTTGGTGCCAAAATTTGGTACGGACAGACGGACGGACGGACGAACGGAGGTACAGACAGTCACCGCTTAATCGATTTATTTTTTCATCCAGATCATTTATGTATACATTTGTCTATATCTATCTCGATTCGTTTTGCCTGTTACAAACAACCGTTATGTGAACAAAGTTATAATACCCTTCTGCACAAGTGTGCTCGGGTATAAAAATGGACAAGGGGTGATAACGTCCGGGAAGAATACCCCATAGAAATTGATTTGAAAGAGAGCAGCCGCGTGAAAATGAAGTATTTTGTTCTGGCCCAAAGATGAGAACATTTTATGTGTTTGGGATCGATGAAAGCAAACCTGTGTCCATTTCACCCTTGTCCATCAGAAATAATGCGTTTGTAAAATAATTATTATATTATTCATTGAATACTTTGTATTTTCATGTGGCCATAGTGACACTTTGAGTTTCAGAAGCATGGTCTGAATTACGGTCTTTTCTCTGGCAGCAAATGCAGTAGCAAATCAATAAGTATGGCGTTGTTCTGCGATCAGAATATTTTTCATACGTAGAAATGCACTTAGATGCTCTCGTAAGATTTCTGCGAGAAAAAGAAAAAGTCGAAAAAAAAGCCCTGGAGTCCAGTACGTCAAAATGATGTGTTTGCTGTAACTCATACCAAAGACAGTATGGACATCAGCGTATAATTTGTTAGTGTAATTTTTTACTTATATACGGCCAACACCACCTTGTTAAATATGCCTTGGTATTGACATTGCGGGAAAAGCAGCGGTAATTCGCTCAGCCATTAGGCACAAAATATAGGAGTTTTATTTCAACCCAGCGTACAGGCACTGGATAACAGATGCCTCTCCACGCAGATCTTACCAAAGGGTGAATGGGAGGATGGCAATCTCTGGAGTAGAGGTCCAATAAACATCTTCACGGACGGCTTGAAGCTGAACGTGAGAGTTGGAGGTGTTTACTGCCAGAAACTCTCAATAGATTTTATGATCAGTCTCTACGCGATCTTTCAGGCAGAAGCGGCTGCTATAAAAGAGACGGCCAATTGGCTCCGCACCAATGTTTTGCCGACGAGCATGTATGTATATTATTCTGCATGTTGCCGAAGGTTTTGTAACCAGAAAATTTTATTGCCAAAAAATGTTATCCGTTCTTGTCTCCGCGATTCTGGGTACGTTGGTAATGCAGATAAAATATTCAGCAATTCAGCTATGAAGAGTTGTGGAAATTCTAGCATTGCATATTTCAACGGGCAATATTTTGTTACCAGCTTATGAGATGCTAACAAAATTTGCTGGTTACAGGAGTACACAGAATGAAAAAAGCAAGGAATGAAACCGAAACCCAAACCGAAACCGTAATCGTTTAAAACCGTTTCGTTTTTCAAAACCGAAACCGTAACCGTTATCTTTACCTGAAAAGGAACGATACCGAAACCATTTCAATCACAGGTTTCAATCGGTTTCCAGAAATTTACAAAAATAATAAATAAAAATGTCTTTGAAACAAATGATTTATTTAACCAAAATCAGCAACATTTTGCTAAATTTCTTGTTAAGTAGTAAATAAGTATGGCAAGGTAACTTTTCGCAAAAATCTGCTGATGACTTTGTTATTGTGAATCGCAATCCCGTACGCAATGCGAGATCCCGCGTGTGCCCAAAATAGCCCAGAAATCATGCCTGTACTCAACAAAATGGGTAATAGAGAGCGAAAATTCGAGCGTATTCGATCGTAAGTGTATTCTTCTTCCTGCCCGAAACAGCCCGAAATTTTCTCCGAGTAAAAATGGATAAAGTGTCAAAGTGCATATCAGCTGTATTGTGTTTACATGTTGCCTGCATTTACTTGGTGCTTTTAAGGAAAAGTGAATGGCCTGTTGATGTATTTTCAATCTATGTACTTAAAATCAAATTTGTGAAACCAAAATTCAATTTCCAAGTGTTTGCATTTAATACCATGTTCTGACCGACAACCAAAACATTTTTCCTTCATTTTCTTTTCATTTACAACCTTTAACTTTCATTCTTATTTTGCTTTGGCCAGGCAATTAACAATAAATCCGAAATGGCGTATTAAACATGATAAAATATGACTGCCACTTCGATAAATAATCGAAAAAAACTAGTGAAGACACCGATTGGAATTAGTGGAAAGTGAGTTTTCAAGTAGTTTTCAGCGAAAACTGGTTTTCGTTTAACAGATTTTATATGGACGAAAACACAAGTTTTAGGTCGAAAACTAGTTTTAGCACCGAAAACATGTTTCCGATGTCGGTCAGAACATGGTATAAGTGACAAAAACAAGAACAACGTGAATCAGCTGTTTCTCGACTTGTGGGCACGAAATGTGGGTTTTGCGTTTCCGTACTTCCGAACTTTGTTCCATTTTTGAAAGAAAATGTTTCTCTTATTCTCTAATTACCAAATCCGGTCCGGATTGTTAGGGAAAGAACCTAGTGTTGATATTATCAGTGAACTGTAATTTTCGATTTTCTTTCCTCAACGTTTAAGACATTGTGATTTAAATAATATCAACAAAATTTCTGTGAAAAACCGAAACCGGAACGAAACCGAAACCAAAACCGAAATAAATTTTGAAGAACGAAACCAAAACCGAAACCGAAACACTTGGCAAAACCGAAACCCAAACCGGAACGTTATTTTGAATCGGTTTCATTCCTTGGAAAAAAAGCATTAAAAATATACACGAGCTGACCTGTAGGAGGGAAAATATCTACTCTGATAGACAGCGGCAATCAGGGCGCTGGGATTGCTAATGGTATGATCGAAACTGGTCGGAGAATGTCAGACCTCGCTCTCAACCGCCGCGTAATACCTCCATAACAAGCTAATTTGGGCCCCAGGGCACCGTGATATCAATGGAAATTACAAGGCTGGTGAATTGGCTAGGCAGGGCACCCTCCAGACCATCCCTTCGGACAGGGAGGGCATAGGAGTTCCGCTGGCAATCTGCCGCCTGCTCGCGGACAGATGGGCTTTTAGTCTACTCAGCAAGCGCTGAAAAAAACCCCGACATGCAAAGTTGCCAAGCCTTTATGGCCGGTGAGAAGGAAGCTCCTACAGCTGACTAAGCGCCAGCTCTTGATTCTTACAGTTTATTAAATATATTTTCACCATGGGCTGTAACCAAATATTTCTAGGAGAGCGTCAAGAAGACAAACGGAAACTTAAAAATCAGCTGACAATCAACCGTTGGAAAGGTCGTGGAAACACAACAACAGTTATGAACAGTGGTGAATATTAATAACAAAAACAATACAACTTTAAAAACAACAACAAAGTCAACAAAAATGAATCGATGTCAGTGAAATACATATGTATGTTAGTGTGTAAGTATCAGACAAATGACAACAAAATTATTGCTAACCTAAGCAAAATGGCATAGCGCATTCAACATTTGCATATTTGTTTGTGGATTTTATGAATAAGCAAATTGCAAATCATTTAATTTCTTCATAAAATAGCGAGAAAGAAGAATGAGAGAAATAAAGCAAAAAACAATGTCAATGAAAAATGTGCAAAAACCCGTGTGTATGTCAGAGAGAGATATTGCCTCTGCGGCACCAGACAAACGAAAACAAGTTAACACAACAACGCTATTGGCAAGTTCAGCGAAATTTTTGGCTAACATTACGAACAGCAAAATGTGGCCAAAACAAAAAGAGAAGAGAGATGAATGAAAAAATTAGATAATTAAAAGTGTAAAAAGTAATAAAGTAAGAAAAACAAAAAAAAAACAAGCACGAAAAGAGACATCGAATGCAAGCGGCAGAATGAGAAAAAAAGTAGATTGGAAGCTAAGACTAAATAATAAGAATAAAAAATAAAATATCGAAAAAGACTGCTTGTTGTCTAGCCAATTTACAGAATAACGGCTTAATTGCGGCGAAAAACCGGCTTAAACTGTTAGGAGTACGCAAAACTGTGCGCACTAGTTGGTAAGTATGACAATCAAATTTTTATTTCGCGGAATTTCAAGTGCAATTTTCTGCGAAACTATTAGAACAGCAAAGCTACATAATCAAATATTGAACATTTAACATTTTATTAACATATTTGTAAAAAAAAAAATTTTTTAGCGCGCCGAGCGGCTTGTCACATGGCGAGCGCAACAACAACAACATCACAAACACTTTCCGTATAAAAGCGCGCACTAAATTTTTTGACGTTTCATTAGCGTGTATGTACATGTGTATGTACACTCAGCTTCGTTTCGCATGCGCCAATAAACATTTTGAAGGTTTCATGTTAACTTCTTCGAACACTTTTTAATGTGAAATCGCTTAGTTTTTAATAATAACAACAACCTTAACACAATCAACCATTTTTAAATTAAGATTTCGCTTTGAAACAAAATAACTATTACGAACTGATTTGGCACTCAACAACAGCAAACACAACACATTTTTCTTTATCGATTTATTTTTTAACATTTGCACTTTTCTCTAATCACACTCGCTTCATGTAATAAAGTTATCGTTATATATTTTTTCTTATACATATATATTCTTATTCTAATTTTAACACTCTTTCGCTTGCGCACCAAACGGTAAACGGTTCTTCTACCTAAAAACACGTTACGCATCCGAACCGAAGAAACCGTCGTCGAACACGCAATTACACGATCGACTTCGACACGAGGACGCACAACAAACGACTAAAAATTGCAATTTCTAAAGTCACACGCTGAACGTCAGACCACAAGCGAGCCCAGTGGCAAGAAAAAAAAACAATAATGAAATAAAAATTAAAACAACAAACACATGAGGAACTCCAATAAGAAAAAGAACCTACTCGTATGTATATTATCTCATGCGCTCTCTCCGAACTTTAAATGCTTCCCTACCTCCTACGGTTCCCCCCTCCTTACACATGACAGCCGGTTCCATTGGATCACACGTTTTGTACGCCAAGATCTATGCTCACCTGTTGGCAGTCGCAGGCATACCTACATACACAAACATACTTGCATACATACATACATATGTACGAATATGGGGAGCACTGAGCAGCAGAGATTGCGTGCTCTTTTGTACAACCAAAAGGTAGCCCAGTGCACGGACTGCGAAAAAATTTATTATTTACATACAAAAAATGGTAGAAGTTGATAGATTTTTTTAAAAGCAAAAATTTGGTGTTATCGTTGCAGCTGGATTTTCGCCTCGGTTCTTGATGTCAAAATGATGTATGTATTTGTGTAATTTTTAATGTAATTTTGCGTAGTTGGTGTCACTTTTATTTCTGTACTCCTGCTATAACATCGGGATAATTCTCTTTTTTTTATAAAAAAACAAAAAATGTATTTCACGCCAATAACACATTCAACAAAAAACATAAATCACACTGGGCCCAAATCATGGCATCCGTGATCGAATGAAATAAAAATACAGCTGCTTTCTCTCAAATACATTTTAAATCGAAAAAACGAGCTCGCTATCAAATGCTGTAATCTCATTGAGATTATCTCAAAAAGATTTTCGATTCGAATTTAATTCCATCACGGATGCCGTAATTCGAGCCCTGTATTAATTTAAAAAGGAACTCAAACAATTACATATCTCCACTTCAAGGTTTTTTGATTAAACTGAGACCATTCGCATGGCAGTCTTTTACAGAAAGCGTATTGCAAACGAAAAATATTTACATAAACCGCTAATAAATAGAGTTGCAATTTCACGTTTAAATTGGTTATGGTCAGAGTTAACTTTTCATATTCATTTTAGGTGTATTCGATGACAAAATATGCATACACTGCGTTCTTTAAATCTCTTTTTTCTTTCCGGTAAATATCTGTAGATTTTTAGCCTTTGCTGGTAAAAATCGTAGAAAGTAAAATACAGCTAAAAAGTCGGTAGATCTACCAATAAAGTGGCAAAGTCCGTGCACTGAGGTAGCAACTTCAAAAGTGTTCAAATAATAACAATTTTCTCTGCTAATAAAACAAATCGGGTATACCAACATACATATGTATGTACATACCCGAGTAAGTATATCTTTGATAATAATATCGTAGCACTCACTTAAAGCACGCGGAAACACAAACAAATAAAGAACCTACATTTAAAAAGTGCTTAGCTAAGTTTACAATATCGCTCTTTTGCTGGGGAAGTCGTTTTCACACTCTTTTTTCTCTAAGAGAACTTTAACAGCCTCGCTGTATTTGCTTAATAACGTTCAAAAAAAGTGTAAACCCCACTCCGTAATATCGTATTTTTTAAGCCACTGTTAAGCAGTAAAAAACTACTGCAGTGCTTAGAACTATACAGAAAGCAAAAACTTTGCACTTCCTTTATTCAAATTAATTAGCTTTTTACGTACACTGAGAAAAATTTAACATGATTTTTTCAAACAAAACTGTAAAGAAATATTGTTCATTATTTCTGTTTCTTGAAAAAGCTCGTTGCCTTTGCTGTAAATTTTCTGGCAGAAATAAATATACGAGCATTTTTTGAAGTGAAACTTCTTAAGCGGCGGTTGTTTGGTTGGGAGTAAATTAGCAAATTTAGCGGAAATGATGATTGGCAAGCTAAACGTTGATTGGCAAGGAAAGCAAATAAATATTTTTTCTCGCTGTGTGAAGACAGCTCTTTTGTAAAAGTTCGCATAATGTGCATGTGAGTTGGACGTAGCTGATATAGAGACACACCACAACGAAATTCTTAACTCGCCACACCCAAACTCACTATACCTCAACTAAACTCACCACATCTGATCTCACCATACCTTTACTCACTAAAACTGAGCTCATCATAACCATTCTCCCCACACCTCACCTAAACTCAGCATACCTTACCTCATTTTGGGAACTATTTCGGGATTTTAGAGAATCTCGGGACTAAATCAGGATTTTTAAGACCATCTCCGGTTCTCGATCTGTTTTCGATATTATTCAATCGTTATAAATACCGATAAAAAATGCCAATATTGTTATCGATATATTTATCGATACTGTTCTCGACATAATAATCAATATTTTTATCTTTATGATAATCGATATTTGTTATTGAAATATTTCTCAACATATCTATCGATACTGAAATCAATATATTTATCGATATTCATATCGATATAACAATCGATATACCTATTTTTAGATAAATTTGATTTATGGATTGATTTTGCAATCTTCATACTTATCGATGTTACTATCGGTATTTCACACAAATTTATTACCGTTATCACGTTTATCGACAATTTTAAAAATAAAATAGTTTGAACGATTGTAAGAAATTTTATTGGAGACACATTTACATACATATGTAATACATATGTAATACATATTATGTATGTATGTACATGTTCTGCTATTTTTTTCTCAGTGTAGTTTTCTTAAATGATCGCTAGTCTTTTATTTAACGGATGTACGTAGGTATGTATATGTATGTTTGTTTTTATCACAGTTTTATGTAGATAACTACTAGACATTGCGGAAGGTCATTGATAAGCGGAAAATTTTGGTAATAACCAGTATGACCAGATGATCCCAAAAAATTCAAATAAATTGAATTAAAAGAAGGTTAGAAAGAGTTGGAGGCAGTGAAAAAAT